ATACTGAGAAAAAGGTTGGTTTCTTGGGTTGCCTCATCCTCACGTCTATTCTCTGTCTACTTTTACTTTTTTTCTCTGAAAAATTAAAAGAAAAAGCTACTGAAGCTCCCAACAAATTAGAAAAAGTAAAAGACGTGTTTTTATTTTTATTTTATTTTTTTTGCAGATAATATACTGTTTTATTTGTTGTGTGAGGTTGGGTAAAATGATATATAAGGGAAATGCTACAGTCCCGTTACGAAACTGTTCTATTGGGATTTGTAACTGTCAGATCATCATGTAACCGTATTGGATAGTTGTTTTAATGGTTACAAATTAACTTCAACGGAATAGTTTTGTAACGGGACCGTAGAATCTCCCGATAAATTAAATGTGAAAATGAAGTACATATGAGATCCAATTCATATCTAAAGAAAGAAAATTTATATGGTGAAGCAATATAATAACATGGAGTAAATGATATCTAAAGAAAGAAAATTTATATGGTGAAGCAATATAATAACATGGAGTAAATGTGTTGTACACGTTTTGATTCTTAGTTTCTTACCAAATTTATTTTATTATATATGTAAAATCTATTACTATATAAGAAAAAAATTAATACAAAAATAGCATTACAACTTTTTTGCTCGAATTTTTATTTTTATTTTTTTACTAATAATGGAAATGTTGTTTTGAAAAATTTTGGGTTCTCCCGCCGCATGTTTTCAAATTCGAAATTAATTCCACCACATCATTGTATATCCGGTCAAAATCCTACATCTATATGTTCGGTCAAAGGTCATAGATTTGTTGTATATGTTTGAAGATTTGTGTATTTTAAAAAATATAAAATGAAATATATATTGCACATATTCTATATATATCTGGTCAAAGAATACTATATTGAAAAGCATCCTAATTAGGGCTGAGCACGGGTCTTGGAGATTACCGAACCGTACCGAAAACCGAACCGAATTCACCCCGAACCGAAAAATATCTGTTGACCGTTTGACTATCTCCGAACCGAACCGAACCGAATTTATTTTCGGTACGGTTCTGGAGATTCATAAAATATCCGTACCGAGAACCGAACCGAACCGAAAATAACCGTACCGAACCGAGGAACCGAACAAGAACCGTTTAGAATTCATATAAATCCACATATATATATATATATATATATATTATCTTATTTTATCATATGTATTTTTTTACACTTTGTACATTATTTTATTCAAATAAAATCTATATGCATTATGTATATGACCATAAAACTACCATAAGTTATATGTCAAATTGAGTTGCGAAAAATCATCCACTATTGAATGTTAATAGAATTTGAAACCTAAAAGAATAATTATTTTATTTTGGTACTACTTATGAGACACTAAAATCTAAAATCTCGTTTTTGAATTAATTGTTTGAAAAGAAAATTAAATTAATATACTCTTCCTATTACAAAATTTGATAGCCAAC